GTCCATATAGAGGTATGCATATGGGGTATTCCTTTTTAACAAAACATCACCCCATGTTTTTTAGTGCAATTACACTATACAAAGATCTAAGTTCTCTTTTTCTTTACAGCCAGTCATTTCTATTTGTGCCTCCTTGAGGTGACACTGACATCATTTTGACTTGAGTTCTACGTGTTCCCGAAACACTTCAGTCACTCTTTTCCATGCTTTACTCCCATACTCTTGGAGATGCAACTCATTTGCCCTCCATGTATCAAAGATCCCAATAGTATAAATGAGTTCAAGCTTTTAAAATCATATAGACTACATCAATGGACACAAAATAACATGAAAATGTATTTTTGAAACCACGGTCGATTGTATTTTCAACATCATAGAATGTGTGAAGATTCAGAAAACTAGTAAAAGGCAAACTCTCCCAATGTTGAAAAAGAGAAAAACAATATTGACTTGTATAAATCACACATGCACGCACACTTTGTATTAGTTTTCTATGGCTGCCTTACCAAATTATCAAAAACTAGATCACTTTAGACAACACAATTCTATTCTGTCACAGTTCTGGAGGCTAAAAGTCTGAAAAAAATGGTGTCATCAGGGTTGATTTATTCTTGGGGACTCAGAAGAAGAATCACTTCATGCTTCTCTCCTAGCTCTTGGTGGTTGCTGGTAACCCTTTGTGTTCCTTGACTTATAGACACATCACTCCAATCTCTGCCTCCATTGTCACACGGTGCTTTCCTTGTGTCTCTGTCTCTGTTTCCAAATTTCTCTCTTCTTATAAGGACACCAGTCATTGGATTAGGACCAACTCTGATTCAGTATGGTCTCATCTTAACTTGATTGTATCTGCAAAGGCCCTAATTCCAAATAAGGTCACGTGAATAGGTACCAGGGATTAGGGTTTCAACAGACCTTTTGGGGGGACATAATTCAACCCACGATCCACTGCAATGTGAATTTCAAGCAAATGTATAGTATAACTTTTAAAAATAATAGTACATGAACATTTAGCAAAGGGAGTGGTGAACATTAGCAATTTTGTATTCTCAGATATCAAATCTCATAAAATGGACACATTTCCCTTTCCTGACTGCTACTAAAGAGAAGTCATGAGAACACCATGATGAACATTATTTTTAACATACATTTAGCAGAAACTTTAATTTTCATTACTGTGGGCAACAAATATAAAAGGAGATTATATAACAGGACAGTCTGAGTAGATTTTTAGCTAGTTGGACAATTACAGAAAGTATTGATTATTGAATTTCTGTCATCCTGGAAATTAGTCTCTAGTAGTGACCTATAGAATTCTTTATTTGTCCCAACATTTGTATCAGTGACATAAATGCAGACACGAAAAAGCAGGATTATCAACTTTCATATAAAAAATCTAAGAAAAAAGCTAACATGGTAGATTAACAGAATACAGATTCAAATGAACCCTAATAGGCTATATCTAATTTTAGTCATAAGGCTGAGAAGCTAAATGGCTTAATGAAGAAGATGAAATTATACAGACAATAAAAATTTCTGTTTCTTAAAATCAAAAATCAGTTCCCCACATAGACACCATATCTGTAGCTTTAAAGAGCTGATTTAATGATATCTTCTAGGGCCGGCCCCGTGGCTTAGCGGTTAAGTGTGCACGGTCCGCTGCTGGTGGCTGGTGTTCGGATCCTGGTCGTGCACTGACGCACCGCTTCTCCGGCCATGCTGAGGCTGTGTCCCACATACAGCAACTAGAAGGATGTGCAGCTATGACATACAACTATCTCCTGGGGCGTTGGGGGAAAAAATAAATAAATAAAATTATAAAAAAAAAATGATATCTTCTAAACATGGTGAATCAGATTGTGTTCTTAAATTGCCATTGAATGAGTTTCTGGGTGACACCTCCCTAAATTAGCTCTAAGTCAGCAGGTAAGGTTCCAAAAACAGTGAAAAACTTCCATTATAGGTGCTCTAGAGAGAAACAATTTCATTAACAAGGATTTCCATCTTTACTTACGTTTCCTGGTTAATGCACCAGAGAAGGTAGTTTGAAACTTAATAAGATTGGTGTTAAGTCCATCCCTAGGGAGAAATCTGACAATGAGAAACTTCACTCTGAAATATATTGCTGCTGGCACCCTGTTCATAGCAAATGCTGCACAGATAGAAATATTGTTCATTGTTCAAATACTCTCCTCACACCGATTAGTTGGAAGTAAAGTTTATTGTCTTGGTCTGTTTTATAATGTACAAACATTGTGGAAGCCATGGAGTACTTTGACTCCCCAAATTTTGAGGACAGCAAGGAGGATTAGCATTGAAAATGGCGAACAATTTGCCTCATACTCTTTGCTGGCAAAACCATCAGGCCATTACTTCAGTTGCTGCAAAGAGCTTCTCTCCCACCATGATCATCTCCCTCCATCCCCAACTTCAGCTTGCTCTCATTTTTAATTATCTTTGTATGCTCTTTTGTTAAAATTCTTTGGGTTCCATTTCCCTTGTCCCTTACATACAGAACTTACTGGACTAGACAACTTAAGTCAGGAAATAAAAGGTAATATACCAAATACTAATAATTATAATAATTTCTCTAGTATACAATGAAAAGACTGACTCCAGGGTAACCAATGTTGGTGTTTAATTGCCACAAATATACTATAAGTGACTAATATGCCAATAAAGCTAATGCAATTGGGCCTCATTTAATACAACCCTATTGATATTTCATTGTATTATATAAGTATCAAACAAAATATTAGAAGGTAATTAATAACTCTAAGGAAGGTAATCTCAATATAAGGAATCAGCAAGCGTGACAAATAGAAATAACAACAACAACAAAAAAATGGGTGTTCAGTCTTAAGAAGAAAATATTTAAGGAAAAGTGGATAGCTACTTACAAAAACATAAAGGTTTATTAAATTAAAGTAAGAAATATATTCTCTTTTGGAACAAAGAATAGAATCAAGAAACAACAAAGGATATCTTGTGGATATAGGTTTTGTTCAATAAAAGATCTTTCCATTAGTTTGGCTTATCTAGCAATAAACTACTTAAAATTGTTATGAGTGTGTGAGAGTTAAGAGTTCCAATAATGATAAGTTAGCTTATATTGGAATAACTCTCCCATAGATAACAATAATAAACCCTGGAAAAAATATAAAAACAACTATTTGAAGACACTGGACAGCAGTCAAAAGGAGACAGAACCTGTAGGCACTTTGACCAGTAAAATAAGGGAATTATAATAACTGGGAGCCACATTTATAGCCTTCCCTGTGGGCATTCCCTAGTCCTCAGGTGCAGGGCAGCTAGAACTCAAGCAGACTCAGCTTCAGTCTTATTGACTTGTGAGGTCAGTGAAGAGATTTCAGGCTGTTAGAGTGGCTATACAATAAGGATAATCTCAGAAAAAAGAGTGACAGAGGGAAGAACATTAACACATGCCTATAACAGCCCTCAAATCCTTGATTGACTGTTCAACTATACATGTATTGGGGACACTCCAGTGATGTCAGCAGAAGTAGCAGCTTAAAGGACTGGAAGAGATTCCTGTTGCTGTGCACTGCAAGGAAACAGAGTTTGCAATTTGAGTACTGCCAAGGATAGAGAGGCGTGGTAAAACCTTCAGGCATTTGATAGACTGGCCTTAACAATGTATAAACCAAAGGCTCCAGAAGTTAAAGATGATCAGCCTTAAAACTGCTTGCCAGAGAATAATCCCCATCAGAGGAATAAGACAGGAATCAGAATCTCTACGATATAGTATCCACAATGTCCTGTACACAATAAAAAATTAACATACATCCTAAGAAACAGAAAATTGTGACTCATTGTTCAAAAAAAAAGCAGCCTATAGAAACAGATCCCAAGGTGAAACAAATATTGGAATAGACTAGTAAAAGAGGTATTATAAATATGTTCAAGAATTTAAAGAAAATGGTGGTCATAATGAACTAACAGATGTGGAATCTCAGCAGAGACATAGAAGCTGCAAAAAAGAACCAAATAGAAATACTAGAACTGAAAATGGGCTTAACAGCAGATTGAAGTAAGGCCAGTAAACTTTGAAGAGCAACCCATAGAAATTATTCAACTTAAAGAGAAAAATAATGGAAAAAAGTAAACAAAGTCTTGGTGACCTGTGAGGCAACATTAAGTGGTCTAACACACATTTAATTGAATTCACAGAAGAAAAGGAGAGAGAATGGGTTAGGGAGGTAATTTAAAGAAACCATGGTTGAAAGTTTCCCAAATTTGGTGAAAAATATCAACCTACATACCTATGATGCTCAGAGAACTTCAAGTAGGATAAATAGGAAAAAAAACCACACATCATAGACCAGCTAAAAAAGTCCATCTTAAAACCAGTAATACAATCCCACCAAGACAAAAATGGAAGTGAAACTCTTGGGGAAGAAAAGATAAATCTCTCCACCCAGAATTCCATATCCAGTGAAGATCCATTAAAAAAAAAATGCATGCGAAATAAAAATATTTCTGGGAGCCAGCCCAGTGGCATAGCAGTTAAGTTCATGCACTCTGCTTTGGCCACCTGGGGTTTGCAGGTTCGCATCGCAGGCGTGGACCTACGTACCTACGTACCACTTATCAAGCTATGCATGGTGGCGTCCCGCATATAAAGTAGAGGAAGATGGGCACAATGGTTGGCCCAGGGCCAATCTTCCTCAGCAAAAAGAGGAGGATTGGCAACAGATGTTAGCTCAGGGCTAATCTTCCTCACCAAAAAAAAAAA